TCGAAAGACAAGCTGTTTCTCGGGAGTATCCGCTTGCCGATAAATAGAATATAGATTAGAAAATTAGTGGACAATCATTTTTATGTTTATATTATTTAATTAGTTCCTTTTTTACTTTTTGTTTTTAATATTTGTGTTTTGTTTAACTTAAGCTTTGGTTTCTTTTAATTTATAACTATGATTGTCACATGAAATCTCCCTAAGTATTAGATAGCATGTAACTGTAAATTTAAAATATTACTTTAATTTAAGAACAGCAATAAAGGCTTATTTTATTTATTTTATTTAAATGTTTTTATTAATTTTTTCTAAAATGTTTAAATCAGGTTAATGAATTATTTAAACCTGTTCGTTTATTTTGATTAAATGTAAAGTAGTATCATCTTCTTTGTTTCTCCTTTCGAATCACATCTTGCACTCTTTTGTTTCGCGCCTTAAATTTTCTTTGTTTTTTTTTTTATTATTTGAAGACATTGTTCTCGATGGCCAGTTCTCAGTATTACAAAATTGTAACTTAGATAATTACCAATAATACAAAAATCTCTTTTATAAATAATAATACTATATTAAATCACTACCCTTTTATATTTTAAATAATATAATTAATCACACAAACGCCTATTTTATTAGCGCCATCTAGTGACCGATGTTGTCTGAACACATTAAATAAATTGGCTTTTGTATTTTTTATTTCTTGAAGAAAACCTGACTTTAGATATCTGTATCTTATTCAAGTTTGATATTTATTGATTCTATATGAATATCTCTTGAATTATTCATAACTTCAGTAGTACCCAGATGGTTCCTGATGTAAACGAACCGTAAATAAAGTTAACAGAAAAACGTCCTGAATTGCCAGAATCGTTTACCGTAGATACAAATAAAATATTTTGTTACGACCTAAATAAGTTTTTCGTTTATTTCATTATTCAAGCTATTATTTGTACCTAATGTTTAATAGCCTTTTTTATTAGAATTTGTTAGCGCTAAAACATTTTATAAAAATTGACAATTAAAATTTCACTGTTATAAATGTTTGGTTATTCATCTCAAGAAAGAGCAAATTATTTATCAGTAATTATGACAAATTAACCTATAAATTCTTACGAATAAAAATGCCTGAATGAAAATAAAATGTTTCCTTGTATTTTCCTTGTTGTCTTCCTCGTTCGAATGGTAGCAGATTGTGACGAACATTACACTTTCCTCCGAAGGAAAAATCGTATCAATCCGCATCAGTAGCATCAGAGGGATAATGCCGTTAAAACTTTAAAATGTCGCTCTCAATTCCTTAATACCGAATTTTTAAATTTCATATAGCGCCCCTTACAGGAAAAAATAGCAAAAATGTACTACATTAAATTTACTATGGTTTTCAGGGAGTATCATTCTGTGTAATACGTGATTCGGTTTTTGCATTTTGTTGCTTATTAACATAGAAATGACAGCAAAACTTTAAAAATTACTCTATAATTGCATGCACTGCTAACTCGAGTCGAGTAATGTGCAATTTTTTTATAAAAATCCATTTGTAATTGTAAGTTTCGAATGAAAACCTTTGAGGTTAATTAAATAATTAAACAAACAACAGGTCTGCAATAGAGGTACTGTAGTTACTAATTGTGGACATGGATTAAATAGCAAATTAAAGAGAAGTATCGTTTAATCAAGATTAATTATTAGCTAACGTAATTTTTTAAAACTTGTATCTATATAAAGGGATTTTTACAAACTTTCGTCTAATTTACGTTTTTCCTTTCAAAGAGCTAAGTTAATTAACTACAATAATTAACATTTAAATAAAGAAACTGTGACGTTTTAAAATAGCTGTTCTTCGGCAATTTAACAAAAATGTCCGATGAATACGTATTGTAAGTTATTTCGTTTTTGAAATTATAATATGTATTTGCTTTATTGTTCATACTTATTTTGTACCCGTCCTTTTCTTTTTTTAAATCGAAGTAAATCGTATAATTTCAACGTTTTCTTTTCAGACAGTCACCTAAGAAACAAAAGTTTTACAGCTATTTAGCATTTATTATGTCTGTATATTCTCTATTCAATCCGACTTGGTGGGGTTATAAAGAAAATAATCTAATAGGTAAAATCAACGCTTTTGTTGTTAGAACATTCGGACCTGTTTGTTTTATTTCACAAACCATGTATCTGTGTATTAACTATAGGAAGCTGGCAATCTCAACTCTGCTGTCGATTTTCTCTATTATGCCAGCTACTTTTTTGACAAATGTAAGTTTTTTCTCTTTTGTGAGTCTTGTTAAAATGGAAAAGACAAAAGATATTTAATATTTTAAGGAAATATAGGTTGAAGGACAATTTTCTTACAGACGTGTCTTTTTTGTGCGCAAAGAAGTTGCTATGAGAATCTAATGAAAAAATTTATGACTAGAATTCATCTAAATAACTACAAGCACGGTAACGATGATGTAGAGAAGGTAACATTGCATTTTATGGTATAAAAATTTGATAATTTTGATATCTTAGTAAAGTATGAATAGTTAGAATCTGTTAGTACATTAAATTAGAGAAAAAAGATAAAAGATTTATATTTTTAGATTTTTGTTTGTATTGAAATAACTCAAAAACTACTGGGCCAGTTTCAAAACTTCTTTCACTGTTAAAAAGCCACGTTATCAGGGAGTAACATAGGCTATATCTTTTTTTTTATTTCACGCGGATGAAGCAACAGCTAGTACTCGTAGATTGATAATTTAATTTACATACTTCCGGTTTGTTATAAAAATGAAGATTATAAAAATTGTTTTTAAAAACATGTGAAAACAGGAAGATACGACAATAGAGGAAGCGATGTGCGCGTTTTGTTATGTTTATTGTTTGCTTTGTGACAGAACTGAAATGTTGTCGTTTGCAGTTGACTACTGTTTGCTAGGAACTGAGTTTGCAGTTAAGTTGTAAAGAATTGCGTATGAACTTAGTCAAAAACCAGACTCTAATTTTGAACTTGTGTTGCAAATTTCGCGCATTAGAGTAGGCGCATACATTTAACTAAACTATCGCACAACTGTTGTACGATTGTCGATTGTTTTACTGTCCATTCAGTATTCAGTATGCGCACCTCCATCAAAGATAATAGGAATCAAAGCACGACTAAACATTTGTGGGATATTTGAGTCAAAGATCTGCGAGCTCTTATATAACTTTTAATTCTATTAATTTAAAAGTTGGAACGATTTTTCAGGAACTAATAAAAATAGAATATTACACGAGACGAGTAACTTATTATTTAACAGTTTGCTTGATGTCTGTTTGCACGTTATGGATCATATTACCAATTATTAATAATAACAAAAATAAAGATGCAATTGCGAACAAAACAGTTATAATGCAAACTAGTATATATCTGTGGATGCCTTTTGATTATGAATATAATTACACGAATTGGATTATTATTCATATTAGTAATACTTACGTTGCTACTACTGGAAGTATTGTTCTGATAATGTTCAATTTGGCCTTCAATATGGTCTTATTTCATCTAATTGGCCACATAAAAAACTTAAAAAGAAAACTTGAAAGGGAATTTTCCATGCCACTGACTGAGAAAGAGGTTAAACAAAAGCTTTCTGCTTTGGTGGATTATCATAATTTTATATTACGGTTGGTCATTTATTTTATACACTATGTTTTATCGGCACACTTTAACGGTAAAATTGTAATTTATTTATTTGTTTATTATTAGAATTTTTGAGGAAATTCAAGATGCTTTTGGATTACATGTAACTGGGAATTATTGTCAGAATTTATTGGGGGACAGCCTTATCTTATATCAAATCATGTTTGGGGTGAGTACCTTCTATGATATGTCAATAACTGAATTCATTCCATTTTTTTTACAAATATATGTATCCTATTATACTTTATACTAATATAATAAAGCGTAAACACTACTAAACTAAACTACTTTGTGGCGTAGGATGTCAGCAATCACAGCGTATTTGTGAATAATTCTTTCTTTAATAAAAATGCTTACACTTCGACACGCTTTAGGCTGTATATTTTCACGCCATAAAACTAAGGAGGGAAAACAATCGAAAAAAAAACTTCATGTGAGAAAGAGACCATAAACTACAAGCTGACACCAAGAAAGCAAAGTTGTCATTTAAGCATTTGAATTTTGACATTTAACAAAAGTAAACATTTTTTTTTTAATTTCATGCGGATGGAGCCGCATAGGAACAGCTAGTATGTTATGACGTTAAATACTTTGTGATAATTTATGTTTTACAATTTTATTAACTTGATGTTTCTTCAAAAAAAAATTTAAAACTAATGTTTCGATGTTTCTTAAGCATGTTTTGATCATTTTTATTACAGGAAGAAGGTTATTGGTTGACCTATGGGATGATGTTATTAGCATATTTAGGTAGTCTTGTATTGTTGTCTTTTGTAATAGAGGAAATACGTATACAGGTAAAATATAGTAATCTAATCTAACTAATATTATAAATTCGAAAGTTTTGATGGATGGATGGATGTTTGTTAGAGTTTGTAGCCTAAACGGCTGAACGGATTTCGGTGAAATTTGGTACAGATGTAGAGGATAGTCTGGAAGAACACATAGGCTTTTGTTTTTTTAATCCCACGCGGATGGAGTCGCGAGCGAAAGCTAGTATACAACTAAAAACACAATACAGTGTTTATTCTGTTTGTACTAATATAAGTTAGTACTGAATGAATGCTTGATAGATTTTGACGTGTCATTGAATTCACATTCTTCTCTGGAGTCAAATTTCGAGTACAGTTATTGTTTTTATTTTTATTAGAGTGACATGTTGCCTGATACAGCATACAATATGGAATGGCAGTGTATGGATGTTTCTAACAAAAAAATATTTGTATTGATCTTGGCGCGAATGCAACCTCCTATGGAATTTATTTCTGCAGGCGGACTTATAGCTGGTGTACGACCAATGATTGCTGTAAGTTAAGTATTTTTACAATATTCTGTTAATGTATATGTATACATTTTGTAATCTATACTACTCCAAAACTAACGGGTAGATTTTAAAAAATCTTGCACTATTAAAAAGTTATCTTATCAGTGAGTAACATATGGTATACATATACTGTATTTTAATATAATGTTTAATACGACGTAGACGAAGTCGCGAGCAACAGCTATTTCTATATGAAATATAATGACAAAAACATACGCCCTATGTGAAGAAATTTAAATAAATGTTTTATATGTTTTTTTCAGATTGTAAAATCTACATTTTCATATTACGTTATGCTAAAATCAACGGTCAACTCGTAACTCCATAATTATAGGACTGGATTAGTAATTTACTAATAAAATCTAAATAGAATATTATTAAATGAACAATAGAATAAGACTTTCTATTTGTAGGAACTAATACTCTCAAGTTCTACAACTAATTCAAATCTACTAAAACTAATTAGAGATGCAGTATTTTTAATATCTGCTTTTATATATTTAGAGTAAATATAAATAAAATAAAAATTACATAAAATAAAATCCCTTTTATGTACAAAACTTTATCTCCTATACGAAGCAAGTTTCACGTAGCACTAAGCTTACTGTAAAGAAAGCTTAAGACATTTATAAGGATTCCGTGCACCAATTGTTTTTCTAATATACTTAACGGACTTAACGCTGCGTTATTGTTTTTTGTAGTCCTTACTTGTAAACTCATTTACACGCAAGAGGAAAAGTAAATGTTAACTAAAAAAAAGCGCTAAGAAACACTAATTATATGCTCAAAGTATTTACTGGTATTCTAATATGTTTTTAAAGGCCAGATAAAAGTTAAAACTTTGTTCCTGTCACGAATGGGCCAGCTCGCCAGGTGTAATACCACGACCACACAGAAAACAGGCGTGAAGTGGAAGCAATTTCGGGTTTCGTCTGATGAGCGTGGTGCCGGAGACCTAATTTTAGTCCCTTTCCCTTTCCGACATTTTCTTAAGAGGAAATGATGGTAAGAAAAAGAGGGTTTGACGGTGGAAGAGATGCATAGGAAGGGGAAATCCCCTCTTTATATGCGTCTCGTCCTCCGTCAATTTAGGGTAAGCAACGCATCTGCAATTGCGGATGTTTATATGCAGCGGTCGCTTACTATTTTGGTAGGTTGAGGTGGCCGCTTACTCGTTTGCCACTATATTTTATAAAAAAAAAAAATTGATCGATTACTATTGATAGGTCACTGTCAACATTATTACTGGTCTTTCTTTTGGAAAGCAAATTCCCGTCTCAAAGAAATGCAACTAAACGTTTTGTGGTATGCGGATGGGAATTCAACAAAGAGAAACTTTTAGTAGCCGCGACGTTTATTTTGTGAAGATAATAAAACATTGGATACAGTGTTTGTTCCTGAGTGTTTATGATTTGAGCGTAAATAATTTTACTTGAACAAAGTTTTAAACCATCGTTACCTGTGTGGTATTCATAAGACATGTTACCATTTTATATTGTGTAAAAATATACTGAGAGGTTGGTTACTCACATATGTAGATTATTTTTAATCTACTTAATAAATAACTTGTATTTTATTTCAAATCATGTATAACAAATAGTTTGATTTAAATTATAACAATTTTATAATCCAATATCAATAAGAACTTGAATTTCAACTCCACGTGGAATTGAAAAAAATTGAGTAGCCTATGGTTCTTCCAGAATATCCTCAACATCTATGCCAAAATTCATCCAATTTGGCTACAAACTCTAACAAACATCCATCCATCTAAACTTTCGCATTTATAATATTAGTGAGATTTATTTAATGGTTTAGTGATTTAATTTATCGTTGAAAAGGACTGATTAATAAAGAGACGACACAAAATGGACGATGAAAAGTTTTATGAAGTATAAACAAGAAAACGAGGTTCAAGAACAAGATCCGGAGTAACGAGTTTATCTTGGATGAAATAAATTTTGGTTTCATTTATAAAACAGAAATAGAAAGTTCAAACATTTATTCCAACTATAAGCGACTATTATGTACGTACATAAAAAATGTCAAATTCATTCCTTTTCTCCTATTAAAAGAGTAAAATTATTAACGTTAGACCCCAAATGTTAATATTTTGGTATGATGATACCATTTGCAAATACCGAATAGTTACATTACTTGTACAAGTAATTTCCTTACAATGAAGATAAATCATTTCAATTAATGACACTTGTGCTCGCACAATTGTTTCGGAATATTCGGATATCGCCATCTGTTAAACGTTAACGAGGCATTCAAGTAAACGCGTTGAAAATTCCACGTATTCACGGGTACGATTCAAACAACCTGACGCGATTTTCAAACTGCAGGAACAAATAAAAAGATGTAGTAACTCTTTATTATTATTTTATCAAGAAATTCGAAAGAATTAAAAAAAAAGACTTACCGTTTACATTAAGTACAATAAAGAACAAAGAAAGAGTAGAATATTTGTGATACAATCTAATCTTCAAAAGAATTTCTAAACAGTTACTATGTGGACTGATTAGACGCAACAAGAAGGAAGCAAATACGAGTACAAGCCTATACATAAGACATGTTTTATCGAATTATGGTCTTATGTGACGCCGCACGCAAGAAAACAAAGATGGTTTGGTCGATCTCTGTATGCAAATTCCGAATATTTTTCATGTCTCTTAGGGCCTGTCGCACCAAATTGTAAATTGTCTTGTAACAATCCAACGTGTAAAATATGTGATAAATATGTTAAATATCGGATTTTATTACCTTATCTGATAGTGACGACATTTTTAAGCAGTGGTGGGAAAGGGCCTTAATCTCTTAATTTGTTTCTTAATATAATATTCCATGCGCAGATTCATACACAATTTAACAAGAACCTATCGGAATCAAAGTCGCTTATATAAAGTTAAAATACGTTATCGTGTTCTTACAGTAGATTGAACATTTGCATTGTAGAATAGAATATTTGTAGAGAAATCTAAAAGCGACTTACTGGCGGTGATAGTGACATATCTCAACGCTAGGGTTACACTCGGAGTTACATACCAAAGAGACCTTTAAGATTACTGACTAGATGTAATTTCATAATTTTTTTGTAATGTTAATTACCGAAATTTTAAATTGTCCGTGACACTTCGCCCGTGACTCTTAGCATAAGATTCAAAATATCTTGTGTATCTTGTCCAATCAAATTCAATCTAGACGTTTCAAAAACGAATTAATGTACACGTTAATACGATGCCACAAAGATGTTTTTGTTTTTTTTTCTCAGTGACTAACAATGTAAGCTAAACAAAGCGTGTTGCATTTTATACCGCGACGTCAACGTTGGGAATATTTCATAAAGAAAACTAAACTAATAAGTATTACGGAAGTAAAAGAGTATATCAAAGGCGTACATATTTTGTAGTATAAGTTAATCCTAAATACATTTTCATTTAGAAGTTATCAACGTGAACGGGTACGTTTTTATAGCTAGGTCTGTCATAGATTTTCAGAGTAAGTACAAAACTTGTAATTTCATGTTTTAATATCTAAAAAGGTCACATATTTCGGTAAATAGAATTCAGGGAAGAAAATAAAAAAACCCACCGCTTGTCTGAAAACAAATGTGTTACGGGAAACGCTACGTAGCGCTACGAAAACAAAAGCGACATGCTCCCGCACACGAGCCCCGAAAGCAAATCATTGTTGTTTCACATCACATGGCGACGTGCGACCCACTGCTGAATTAATTATGATTCCGCCTGTGAAAATACGAGGGATTTTTGAGTGTTTTATCTAAATTTGAAGGAATACAATATTGTAAAACAATTAGGTACACAATTATATTTTTGAACAATGCTAATTTTATAATAATCTAGCTTTCGCCCGCGACTCCATCCGCGCGGTACACTGTACAGACTTTTCAATAATAATTTACGATGACAATTACCGTCAAATCGTTAGGTCATATTAATAAACAAACATTTTTGAATGTCTCTTTTGAAACGACTGTAACGACACTTTTATTGACTTCTTAAGTTTGTAAGTCGTTATTAGCGTAAAATATGAATTAATCACTTTACAGCGACGCTGCAACGTCATCAAAACATCGCCTTCGAAGAAATTCAGACTACAGAAATATTCAGAGTTACTTTACCTGTAAAAAAGTAAATTAAACAAAAATTTGTTTACAATTTACATATTTTATTTATTAATATTAGATAACAACACTATACTATCGAACTTTACATAAAAATATTACCCCACACCCGCTGTATTTGTCTATTATTGTAAATCGTGTTAAAATTTGCATAAAGAAACTATCATTTTATAGTAGCGTTTTTAACTCTTCTTCGGATAAATTTTGAATTTACACTTTGTTATACGTCATTGTATTGCCAACAATCATAAAAAAATAATTTTATATTTACTCCATTACTTTCTGCTATCAAACTCGAATAACCGAGTAAGGGGAAGGGCGGGTTATGATTGATTACATCGTATTGTGTTACTACAACCTATCAAAATTGCACCACTTGCTTGCCTCAAACGTTACTGGAGACAACGGCATTTAAATTCTGTTAAATTCTCTTAATTTTATAAACATTTAACAATGAATCCCAATGTGGTCATCAATAACTTTCCTATTTATAATGTGGAACAAGACGAAAATTTCTCAAAGAAAGAACAACATAAGAACAGAAGTGAGAGAAATTTGCCAGGTGTAAAAATATTTATTATATTTGTTACTTTAATATTTCGCCCGTGACTATACTACTTTTGTTTTTGTTTACGTGTACGTAGAAATAAAAAAAAAACAAAAGTAAGTAGTCTATGGATTTTGCAGACTAATCTTTCATATATGCTAATTTCATCGGTAAGCGTTAATTAGTTAAGGCTACGCTAACAAACATCCTTACATCTAAACGTTAGTGTTTATAATATTAGTAAGATATTATGTCGTCTAAACCTATTGTGGTGTACGAAATAAAACGAAATAACTATCTTTAAACTGATCAATTAATACTCTTACTTTTAATATTTAATTAAATTTTTACTCTAGCAATTAATAATTAATAGTGGACTAAATAAGGAACAAAAATTATTTATTTTTAGAGTACGAAGCGAAAGATGTTTATGGACCTGAAATAACAGACGACGACTCGGCCCTTTTAGACAAGCATGATAGCTTCTACATCACAACAAAGAGCTTGTTAGTATTATTCCAAATAATGGGAGTAATGCCGATAATGAGAGTGCCTAAGGGTAACATAACATTTACATACAAAATGCGCATAGATAATGTATCAAACACTACTAAACTATCAGACTT